TCTGCAGACTTTACTATATGCCACACTCCACGCCTAATCTTAATGAAAGGATTAAAAAACTTGTCAAATTGAGGTGCCACAAAAAAAAAAGGCAAGTCTCTGTCAAACAGAAAGGCTTGTCAAACCAAATGGATTATCTGCTCTTTGGGGATTATCTGTGACTCAGCTGCTCTGTATTGGTTAATAAAGGAGAACCCGCTGTACTTCATCCGTTATCCCTTTCATATGGATAAACCCCCTTAGGACAGGTATACTCAAATTTCCTTGGAGCACTATGAAGCACCAAAGTACTAATAACCAGGGGACAACTGACTGGGCTCGAATATTGCAGCCATTTTTCATCCACATTATTATAAATGGAATAAGGCATTGAAATATGAGAAATTTCCACCCGTGTGAGATAACTGACAACCCCACCCTGTGGGACAAAGGAAGGAGATCATTGCTTGGGGCCTTTCTTCTCAGACTAATTTTTCTAGACATTTTCCCAAACATTATGTAATTAATCTTATAGAACCTAAGCCTTATTAAAAACTCATTAGCAAATATCCTTGGCTATAAAAGGCACCATATTGAGCAGAATTTTGGCAAATAATAAACTTCATTGTACTTGGATAGAAATAGCCTTAGGTGCCAACAGCTCCATGGACTCAGAGCAGATAATGTAATTGCTGCTCCAACAGCCCAGCCTCCTGCCCAGCTCAGAGCCCAGTACCTTGGAAACTGTGGGCTGCATCCTGCCCCTCTTCGTTCCCCATCCCTTCAGGAGGGCGCAGGCTTCTCACTGCTGCCCCTGTGCAGAGAGGATACTGCATATAAAAGGTGGGCTGAGGCTACTACAAAGGATGCAATAGCTATTATAGTTAGGGAGCCTGTTGAGGGGGAGGTAGCAAAGGGTGGCGGTGGAGGAAAGTGAAATTAGACCCATAGGCCGCTCTTCTAGTGTTGCAATCCTGTCTCCTTAAAAACTGCTAAGAATTTGCAAATGGTTAAGTTCGTAAATGTTGCACTGCTTTGCCAGTAAAAGCTTATGTTGTCTGCCAGGCTCCTTTGACAGTCATCACTGACCCATGTGCATAGTGGCTGCTCAGGGAGCACCTGGACAGAACAGGGCCTGCTTTTTTTTTTGAGACAAAATTTTGCTGGGTCACCTGGGCTAGAGTGCAGTGGTGTGATCATAGCTCACAGCAACCTCAAACTTCTGGGCTCAAGCGATCCTCCTGGCTCAGCCTCCCAAGTAGCTGGGACTACAGGCATGTGCCACTGTGCCCGGCTAATTTTTCTATTTTTAGTAGAGACAAGGTCTTGCTCTCACTCTTGCTCTTGCTCAATCTGGTTTCAGACTTCTAAGCTGAAGCGATCCTTCCGCCTCAGCCTCCCACAATGCTAAGATTACAGGCTTGAGCCACCTTGCCCAGCCCAGAGCCTGCTGTCATTACCTGCAGAGAGCACTGGCCAAACCAGAGAAAACCTGGGTGATCATAGGGACCACCCAAGGGGCAGAGCGAAAACACATTGGTGGGCTTTGCTCCAACTCTACTGCATCAGAACCCCAAGACACCGTTCTTATGATCAGACAGGCTTGGAGACAGCGGACTGCAGGCTTGTAAGTTCCTCAGGAGAGAGGGAAGGAGGGGCAAAACGAGACAGTTGAGCTGAAATAGGATGCCCATATTTTCCGTCCCTCTGAGTGGATGCTCTTGCCTAAAAGCGTGCTGGATAGCAAAGCCATTTCTGTATCTCTGCTGATAAAATAAAATAGTGCTCTGTGGGTCCTATAATAATGAGTTTTCTACGAGTAATGATCTAGTTAACAACAGATACTTTTTCCAGTGTTTTCCCATGTAGCAGTCACTCTTCGTAATGAGAGAGAAAAATCAGACTGGAATTGAATCTAAGCTATGTGCAGTTTTGACTGGCTGACCTGACATTAAGTAGCAACTGTCTTTCATCAGTTCTCATTCCTTCCCCTTTAAAGATTTATATATACACATACGTATGTATATATGTGTGTGTGCATGTGTTTGTAATTTATCTGGTATATATAAGATATATATAAGATATATAAGATATATGGATATAGATATGC